AGCTATTAGCTCACTAGTACCAGCTATTAGCTCACTAGTACCAGCTATTAGCTCACTAGTACCAACTATTAGCTCACTAGTACCATCTATTAGCTCACTAGTACTAACAATTAGCTCACCAGTACCAGCTGTCTGCTTACCAGTTTGGTTTAAATACATGAATTGCTCAATCCTGGCTAATGAAACCCAAATGTGATACTGTATGTATTTACTTTGTACACACAATGCYTAAATATTGATTCAGAGACTCAAAAAAAAAAAAGACAAACAAATGTTCCATCTCGACTAAGACCACTCCAGGCTATCATCAATAGAGTGCAACACTAGATAGCTCCAATGACTTTTGAATATTTWAGTAATTGCTATCATTTAGGGTGAAATAACACCCAAGACATAAACAAGAAGATATCATGTATGGCTTTTCTTATTGACAACGGTAGCAGACGTGTCATTGTCAAATATTAAGTTTTTTGGCACACAAGTAAGGATTGTTATTGCTGGATTGAACTCTTTTACTCCAAGTTAAGGCTGTTCAAAGAGCTATCTATGACAGGTAAGATATTAACTGTCATAACTTTTCCACAGAAACCTCACTTCAACAAATCTGAATGTTCCCTTTTCCCGAGAAGTGTGCTGGTGAGCGTTGTGTGAAATCAGGACAACATGAGGTGTCAATGGAAGCGTTTGTGTGCAGTGAGCAGAATTAAGAGCAAAAAGGAAGGAAGGACAGGGTCTTCAGGGAAAGCGTATTTCCTACAAAAGCCCGCCTCTGAGCTTACAAAGACAATAAAATCAGCCCCTCCACTGCCAAAACCCCTCAGAGAAAAACATCTGAAGAGCCAAAGGAGTTTCTGAACCTTAAACCATCAAGTTACAGCTAAAAGTAACAACATACTGCCAAAAGGTAAGGGCCTCTACGGGAAATATTTTCTGCCAAAAAAACTCCCAGCAGGAACTAAATAAGCATCTTTTATTTATTTATATTGACTCAGTGAATCAAATATTCTAAACTAGCATTTCAGCTCTCCACTGCCCTGTGACATGCAGCCTTTACATCAACTGGACTAGTAACAGAACCTGTTTTGACCCAATCTAATATCATTTAAGGTGCATGTGAATATTGCTTTTTTTTTTTTACATCTATAAACAAATCTATTTATCGAAGCATGTAGCCTGTTTCTTGCTCATGTTATCTAGTTCTTCTTACCCAAATATTTCTGATGAGACTGAGCAGTGGCCAGTGAACAAGTTCATAGCCCTGAGCTTTAAGACAGGAAACAGTAGCAGTGAGAGTTTTATGGTGCGATTAAATTTGAATGTTTTGACGCAGGAATACAAAGCTTTGACGTGAAGCAGAAATTCAAACTCAAACTGTCAGGTGTGGGATTATCTACCAAATAAGAGGTAACCGGAGGAAAGCAGAGCAGTACTTCTTTCTGGAGTGTGTGGTTGTAAATGTTGATCCATTTTTGTCTTTGTCTCCTAATTTTTATGTTAATCATATTATACTTTTATTTTTCCTTAATGCCCTTATACATTTGGAAAGTTGAGTTATTTTTTTTTTATTTTAGTTTATGTGAAGTGTTAGTTTAACGTCCCGATGTGCTCACAAAGTTAGTTCATTGTGTACTAGTTCYTGTGTAACTTTTTTAGCATTAGTGCTTATAAGGGAAAAATATAATTAATAATTTAAAAAAGAGATTAGAAGTGAAGATAATAAACTCAGATTTACTTGTGTGGCTAATCTTTCCTGTGTAATACAATGAAAATCCTTCAAAAGCAAACTTAAATATCAATAAAAAAAGCTTAAGAGGAAGTTTGCCTCCTGTGTTTTTTGTGTTTTTATTTCTGCGCTGTTCATACTTTTGTCATGTCGAGGGGTGATGATCGACCTGAGCAACGAAYGACCTTAACCATTTGTTTTGGTTTTAGGAATTGTTATTCATTTTAGTAAAGAAAATGAACTTCCAACTCAGGGACTTTTTTGTTGCAAAAAGAACTTGAACAATAAAATCTGAACTGTTTGTTGTACATTTACTGTCGGTATTAAAAGCAAAACAAACTTCTTGTTGTTCCTCCTGAAGGTCACTTTCTCTTAAAATACAATATTTTTCCTTTAATCAGACCTGAAAAACAGGCAAGAAAAAATCTTTGGAAAAGGGAAATATGTATATAATTTTGTAATACTTGTCCTCACCACGAGAGGGCGACACACATCAGGTCCTTAAACCCAACAACTTGAATAAACTGACAGTAAATTAAGCCAGCAGTCAGCTTCTGTCAGGTGAGCTCAAAGAAAAACCCTCAAATGTTTAAAAAATTATCTAAAAGTTTCATATATTTAGTTATCTTTTGTTTCTTGGTATTTGTGTTGTGAACAAAGTAAATATTCTATTTGAAACAAGTAACAGCTTCAAAAACAGTTTTACGGCRGACAAAAGAAACGCAGGTTTATGTTCCATCATTTTTAAGAATCACATTTAATTACTTCAGAATATTTTTTTCTACAGAAAAAGKAGATGACATGTCCTTGGGTCATGTGTTCGATCAGAAGTTGGACAATGACATTGTTTCAAAAGGTTAGCTTTGTTTCTGTTTACACACAACCACCAAAAAGGCATAAAAAATCATTTTGGAAGCCAAATAAAAAAAAAATAGGTTTTAAGCTCTGAAAACATTTCCATGGCCCTGTAAAATTCTGGGATCTGTTTAAAAGCTTATATCTTCAAACTACTTGTAGAATTAAAATAAAATAAAAAAATACTGCAATAATTAATAACAAAAGCAGTGTAAAAGATGTTGAACACTTCAATGACAGTATTAGTTTGAATAAATACAGTTATTTTTTTGTGATGACATTTCCATCACTCCGTGCTGATATAACGTTTCAACCATTATCAGGTAGGTAAGTAAACTGGTATTTATTATCTCATCTACTATTTTTCAGGGATTTACCTGGTTAATTAAAAGTGAATAAATTCAAGATGATAGGATCCAACTGATTGGCTATTTAGGATGCTGTTTATTTGCATTTTTGCAAATGTCTAAGTTGAGATTCTTTGATAGTGTAATAAATTTWCACTACATTCAATAATACAAAGTAGAAAATGCACTCTTTGGAATAAGTTATTAATATGCTTGTGTTTTTTCAGGAGTCCAAAAATACAATTAGAAAAATACAAACTTTTTTTTACCACCAATAACTCACATACTGCCACATAATGTAATACATGTATAAAAAGGATTATGAATACATATTTAAAATTTTAACTTAGCTAAAAGTGGTTTAAAAAATCACAAGCAGGAAGCCTGATCTTGTGTTCCCATCAAACACAAGATCAGGCTTCCTGCTGATGACCTAAATGTTACCACAACTTCCGCTCCACAAACCACATGTGGTTTACTTCTGATTTGAATCAAAAATGAAAACATTGAAAACAAAACAAGCTTGTAATGACATAAAAAAAACACAGAAAGGTGGAACCTGACTGTGATTTCTTAGTTTCTCGTTTGTGGCTGAATTACAGTCTKTTTGCTCAGTAGATCTGTTATGTACCACCCTGAAAGGCTCGACAGAAGAAGCTACCGATCTTTGAGAAAAAGCCACCRACAGAAAACAGCCTATCTTGGACATAAATATGAGTCAGGCCTATTGATTCAAGATGCATGAGCTCGGCAAACATGTCGAAGGAGGGGTGGCTGATGAGCTCTCGGATCTTCTGAGGGTCCCTGGAATAAATTTCCTTCGCTGATTCCATGAAGAGGACTGGCAATGGCAAAAATTGCTCAGGTGGAACAAGGAAGTACACTTGTCTCTTCCTGAATTGGACATGCCCAGCTGCGTCTCTGGCCCTGTCCAYCTTCTGCATCGCTTCAAAAATGTTGGTTTTGAAAGCCACCAGAACGGTGTGTGTGGCCATGATGTGTTTGTCAAATGGGGTGGTTGAGTTTCTGCCGGGGTCCGACGACGATTGCGTGGCACATCTATAGGTGACGTCAAGCTGGTCGCAGTAGACTTTGACAGATTTGAGAGCTTTTTGCAAATCTTCAAAAGCTTGATTGAGGCACTCGATGTCGGAGGAGTTGTTGAGCTGAGTTAGATATGCAAACGCACGATTGTAATATGCAACTGCTGCCCAACATGGGTCTTTATCTATGGCTTTAGTGAACATGCTGATACTGTGGGAAAACATTCCCATTTTTTGTAGCTCGTTGCCAAATAAAGTGTGGTGGTGCARGTTTGATGAGGGGGATTCTCTCAGCCCAAGCATTTCAACAGCTTGTCTTAAGTCTACTTTCAGGCTGTTTTTCACCCTATTGATGGGGTCTTCTTTGTTGAACTTTGTCAGCAGCCACATTCCCCAAAACTCATTGAGTGCAGACACATCTGATGCTGCCGGCTTGTAGCTGCTGTTGTGCAGATGATCCAGTGTCTCCAGATACTGATAGAAAAGCTGTTCTTTCATGTTTATGTTTAAGATATGGTCCTCCACGTAGCTAGACAATTCTTTAGCCACTAAGTCATCTCTGATCTTTTTAGCAATCAGTATATCTGACATGGAGTCTTCGGTCAACAGATGGGAAAGTAAAGAAGAAATCTCTTTACGTATTTTGTTGGTGCATCTTTTCTGATACAACCTCAGTTGCATCACAAACATATCTTGAAATATTGAAGAGTCATCCATCAGATTTTCTATCAGAGATAAAAGGTTCCTTGCTAAAACCAACAACTGCTGAGGCTCTGGCAGATGCTTGGAACAGACGAAGAGTTGAGCCGATCCTGGAGATCCTTGTCTCGCTGCACGACCAAAGGCCTGAGCCTCCACACGAGTGTTCTTGGGCAGGAAAGTCTGAACAACAAACAAACCTCCAGCTGTTTTTACTGAGTCAGAAATMTGAAGATCTGTTCCACGACCAGCCAGGTTTGTGGCTATGATGACGTCTCCTGGTCCCAGTTCCATGGTAAATATTGCTCTGTTGTCCAWGTTGTTGTTTATGTAAAGCATTTTGTTTGAGACCCTATTTCCAAGAGCATGGTGCAGAACTTTTGCCCACTTCATGGTCTCACAGATGACCAGCACAGCTCTTGGACTCCTATATGGTGTCTGCTSTATTTGTTCAATTACAGCCTTGCAGATTTTTTGAATCCATGTTATCTCATCTTTAACAAACACGCCTTCAACCTCAAACAGTTTCCTGCACTTGAATGAAGGTATTTTGCAGGTTTCAATACCTGTGTATATTTTCTGTAGTGTCTCAATCTCTGCTTGTTGACCAAGAGTTCTGGACATTCCATAGATCTGACTTTTATACAGTTGAAGCAGGCCAACATTTGACATGTAGTTAGTGATGGCTGTCATATCACTCAGCTTTAACTGATGTTTCAGTTCCAGAAACTGCTGAAGACCATCACTCCCTTCYGTGAAATTTTCAGCAACTGAGCAGCTGTAGTCCGYAGGTACTGTTCCAAGTTTTTGCTGGATGTACTCAACATCATCCTCCATGGTCTGTGCACGGAAWGCATTTACAATCCAAACTTTTAGTTTAGATTTAACCAAATCGGAGAGGAAGCCCGGGACATAGCAGTTTTCTCCAGTCTTGTTCAGCTCACATGGTGTGAAATGCAGAAAATGTTTGATTTCTTCTTCTGCAGCTCTCAGAACACTGTCTTTATCAGGATACATGTACTGACAGAAGCCACCATCCACAAGAAGAGACACTTGTTTCTGTCTGTTCTGTTGATTTTGGTACAGCTCCTCCAGTTCCCTGTTTCTGTTTATGCTGAACAGAGCAAACTGACAGGATGGGAAACTCGTCTCTATTGTTCTGATGAAGTCAACCAGCTTGTCAGTTGCAACAGCAGCAGTTTTCTCTGTTAAAACGTTTGGGTTTCTTCGTATTTCCTGAACTGAGCCTTTGGACAGAACACCAKTGTCCTCAGCTATTTGAAGAATAGCAAACTCATCAATGCCTTTTTCGTTAATGTGTTTCAGTACAACTTGATGAAAGAGGTATTTTCGTCCAACAATTACAYTGGCACCTATTTTCCTGTACTGATTAATAGTGGCCCATATAAAAGCCAGGAGAGGGTTGAGATGCTTTAAAGCAGGCATGTCACTGCCTATATAGACAACATGATGACCTTTGTCCAGCATCAGTGAGTCCACTTCACCCACAATTGCACATTCAAATTTCCTCTGACCAAATATGTCCTTCCTCTCAAAGTTTTCTTGAAGCCAGTGTCCAGCGAACTCTTCCACAGTCCCATAAACAACCTGACTCTGATAGCACTTTTTCAAGTCTTTGTCTTGTTTGTTAATGTTGCAGTCCACACTGATTTTCAAAGCTTTATAAAACTTTTTCCAGTCTTCCATGTCTCTCTCTGCTAGAACTGATGAGCTTGACATAATGTCGACATATTCGCCTCTCAGAGCTCGAAAGGCAGCAAACATTGCCACGATGCAGGACTTCCCCTCTCCAGTACCAACCTGGATCAGTCTTCCTGTGTTGGAAAGAGCCATGAGACACCAGCTCACCATCTGTGTCAGTCGTGGTCTGAAGTGAGTTCTTTCTGCTGCTTTACAAAGTCTCAGTAAATCTTTCTTCACTCCATTTAACTGTGACCCATGACCAGGTGACTTCAGCTGCTGATCCACTGAGGAGACAGTGTCTCTCACCTCTCTCAACATCTCATCATTTACTTGGTTTAACTTCTCACTTCGGATCTCCCTGATAATCCGAGTCAGTGTTTTCTCTGTGTCATCTGCCAGAAACTCCTTGAGTTTTTCATCAGTTATTGAAGTCTCTCTAATCAGTTCAATAAGTGTATCTTCTGATTTCGATCTCCAAGAAGAAGTAATGCAGTTAACCTCGATGCAGTGCAACATTTGAAACATCCATGGAATAAAATTTGATCTGTCGTTGGCAAAACGTGACTCAAAGCGATTTAGAAGAGCTTCAAACAAGACTGAAACATCCTCAGGTCTCCACTTGATATTTCTGACCAGTCCTCGCAGCTTCTTCAGGATGATTTTCTCATTGTTTGGAGACAGTTGGTGAACTATGTGAATTTGTCTAAACAGGCGAATTCTGGGACCTTGGTTCGTTTCATCCATTTTGCAAAAGGCCATCGAACCTGGCTGAAAAAGAAGTAAGAAAATGGTTTTAAATGTTGCTCTTTTAAACTGTTTATACATAGTGATGATAATGAATTTATAGCACAACAATCCAAACACACAAATGTCTGTTTTTTTTGGAAACAAACAGTGAGTCATGTGAGAAGCTAAAATGCTGTCAAGCAATTGTTCATCTGTGAGATCTGGGTTACTTCCATCCATTTTGCRAAATATCAAACCTGGGTAAAATCAAAGAAAGAATTATTTTTTGAAGGTGCAATTTCTCACTTATTTTTAACCAGTGATGATGACCTGAAACTGTAAAATTGGAACAGTACAACAGGATAAAGATTTTCCTTACTAAAATCATGTACATGAAATGCAATATACTTTTGTTTGAAGTCTGTTTTCAAATCTWAAAAAACCTTTCAAATCTTAAAAACAGCTGTTATTGCCCTAAGTGCTACGAATAAAATGATGAACAAGAAAAATAGAACAAAATAAGACTATAAAACAAAACTAAACCAATTTAAATATATTTATAAATAAATATTAAAATATTCACATAATGGAAAAAACTCAACTGCCATAAGCCTGTAGAACTTTTATCATAAAGCTTCCCCCCTTGACAACTTTATGATGGAAAAAAATTTCCAATCAGCAGCCAACAAAATTCTTGACAACCCAAATATGCTCTATTAAAATCATGCTAAGTTGTTATTTCTTCTTTAGTGCTGCAGTTTTTTTTTTTTTTGCCAATTTCTTACCTTTTACTTCTACTTTGTTCCAGCAACATTGATTCAATCAACTGTTGTTTGGTGCAGGCCCATCGTGGCTAATCTGGAGGACTGGGAATTCGTTAATGACCCTAAAAACACAGGTTTTTTGACAATCTAAACCGCTTGTACACAAATATAAATATGTATTTATAAGTTTTTGTGTGTTTTTGTAATAGTTATAGGGAAAATGTTACATCAGCAATTATTTTATTACCCTTTAAATTGATTTCTGGAGATTATCCAAGGTGCTTCGTGACCCATAATTGGGTCCCAAG